AGGGGTGAGAGAGGAAGAGGAGGGAAGAGGCGGAGAAAGGAAAGGCAAGGGAGGCCAGACACTCTGTCTTCCCATTTTCCAGATGCAGAAACTGAGGCCCGGAGCCAGGCTGCAGGGGGGTCCCCGCAGCCTGAACTCCTGCCTCAGCCTCCCCGGGTTCCGCCCCTACATTCCTCAGTCAGCGCTGCTGGGGGGGCCCCAAAAACCTCGGAGGCCGCAAGAGGCGGTGTCTCCACCCGCCCGTCGCTGGGGACCGCAGCGGGCACCACCCCTCGTCCCCCACCCCCCTGCCCGTCGGCGCACCGCCCACGCCCTCCGCGCGCCCACGCTATAAATAGCCTCTTGCGTGTGACCCGAAGCCCGCCGGGGAGGGGTGGCGCTTCCGCCCCGCTGACCCTGATACCGCAACCCGGCGCGGGCTGGGAGAGGGTGGCGGGATGTGACGACGAAGACGGTGACTCAGGGACCATTTACTGACCAGGGAAGACAAGGAGGAAGACTGGGTGCCTTTTCTGAGCCCGATTCCTCCTCCGCGCCCCTCCCCCTTCCCGAATCCCCTCCCCCACGGCGAACCCCCTTCCCTCCTGAGAACCCCCTCCCCACCCTCCGCTCCCTTCCCTGTCCCCCTTTCCCTCTGACACCCTCCTCCCCACCCTCCGCCCCCTCCCTGTCCCCCTTTCCCTCTGAGACCCCCCTCCACTCTCCGCCCCCTTCCCTATTCCCCTTTCCCTCTGAGATCCTCCCACTCTCCGCCCCCCTCCCTGTCCCCCTTTCCCTCTGAGACCCCTCTCCCACTCATTCCGAGCCCCGGTGATGAAAAAACGTGGTCCTCACCCTGGACCTCCGTAGGGGACTAAGGGCCGGAGCCTGGCTTCAGCTGTCAGAGGTACAGCTCTCCAGCCGGTCCCCCACTGCCTGAGGACCCCTACGGAGACCATTCCCCTCCAGCCTAGAGAAGCTGCGGCAAGGAGCTGAGGCTTAGGAAAGAGGAGGCGGATTGACCAAGGGAGGGACACAAGAAGGGCAGAGAGAGAGAGAAGGAGAGAATAGAGGCTGAAAGAAGATAGCAGGAGTGGAGAGAAACCGAACAGGGAGGAGGGAGACGAGAGACAGGGATGGGGAGACAGACAGAACAGATCAGGCAGCTACTGCACTCCCTTCTGAGCCTGAATCCGTGGTTTATAAAATGGGGCACAGTTGGAGGAGCTTCAAGTGGGGCCAAGCCCAGGCTAGACCCCAGTGAGCCCCTTGTGTCACCCCCCAGGGCCTGTTACTTCCCCACCGCCCTGTGCACCCCCCTCCTCTTCTCCCCCAATGGTCTCTCCTCTCCCCAGTGTCTCCTCCACCTGCCTGCCCTCCCTAGTGGAAATCTTTCTCTCTTTTACAATTATTATTATTATTTTGGAGATAGAGTCTCTGTCACCCAGGTGCCATCTCGGCTCACTGCAACCTCCGCCTCCCGGGTTCAAGTGATTCTCCTGCCTCAGCCTCCCAAGTAGCTGGGACTACAGGCGTGCACCACCACACCCGGCTAATTTTTGTATTTTTAGTAGAAATGGGGTTTCGCCATGTTGCCCAGGCTGGTCTCAAACTCCTGACCTCAGGCCATCCACCTGCCTCGGCCTCAAAGTGCTGGGATTACAAGTGTGAGCCATGGCGCCTGGCCCCTCTCTGTCTTTTAAATTGCTATTTTTAGACATGGGATCTTACTACATTGGCCAGGCTGGTCTTGAACTCGGGGTCTCAAGGCTCCCCCCCACCGCCTCAGCCTCCCGAGTAGCTGGGATTACAAGCATATGCCTCTACGCCTGGCGCTCGCTCTGTCTCCTTGTGTCTCTGTCTATTTCTCTCCATCTGTCTGGAGCCTCCTGTTCTCATCCTACCATTTCTTCCTTTCTCCTCTCCCTTGCTCTCCCTGTATGAGACCCTCCAGCTCTGGGGCCAGTGTCAGCCTCTGTCACTCTCTCCTCCGCCCCCTGACGCCATCAACATTTTCCCTCCTGCCCCTTCCCCTGCCCACTCCCCTCACAGAGGGTCTGCACAGCTGCAGGCTGGACCTCCTCTAGGAGTGAGGCCCAAAGCTCCTGGGCACATTCCTGAGTGTTCCTGAACCTATCTCAGCCCCAGGGGTGAGGTGCCAGGTGGGTGCGCTCCCTGGGGGCTGGGTGGGGCGATGTGAGAGAGAAAACCAGATCTAGGGGAAAAAAAAAAAAAAAAAAGGCAGAGATGGAACCAAACAGAGATGAAGGCCCAGAGAGGTGATTCACTTGCCCAGGGTCACACAGCTCTGGAATCTGAACCTGGCTCAAACCAGTGCTCACCTCTCCCAAGGCCCAGCTAAGGGCTGCAGGGCAGTGGCACCATCTCCACTCACTGTGACCCCCACCTTCCAGGTTCAAGCGATTTCCTGCCTCAGCCTCCCAAGTAGCCGGGATTACAGGAGCACGCCACTAGGCTGGCGAATTTTTGTCATTTTTACTAGAGATGGGATTTCGCCACGTTGGCCAGGCTGGTCTCGAACTCCTGACCTCAAGTGATCCACCCGCCTCGGCCTCCCAACGTGCTGGGATTACAGGCAGGAACCACCTCGCCTGGCCGGAAACAGTCTTTACTGACATGTGTTGAGGGCCATGGCACTTCCCCTGATCTTCATGGGAATTCTCTCTTCACTGGTTCCACTCAGGTGCCTTTTGTGAGACAGAAATTAAAGCGATGAGGACGGAGTTGCAAACCCGGGATGGGAGGCTGTGACATCTGCCCAGAGAGACACAATTCTGTTTCTAGGAATTTATCCTTCAACTCACTAGCACACGCTCTTCAAGACATCCTGAAAAAAACACGGAGGGCTAGAACAGTGGGTGTCAAGTGCGCCGCTTGTCTTGGAAATCAAGCAAGGCGAACGTGGGTATGATTGCCGATGCATGGACCATCTCCAGTGGTACAAGCAACTGCCAATGTTGATTGCATCTGGGAGGGAGACGAAGGGGTGGGATGGAAAGAGCTTTATTCTCAGTGTCTCATCTCATGGTTGTTTTGGATTTCACAACGTGTGCATGCATTGCCTACACAAACAAAGACATTAATTTGAAAAGGAAAAGGGGAGAAGAAAATAGGGAGGAAAGAAAAGGGGCCGGCGCGATGGCTCACACCTGTAATCCCAGCACTTTGGGGGGCCGAGGCAGGTGGATCACCTGAGGTCAGGAGTTCGAGATCAGCCTGGCCAACATACAGTGAAAATCTGTCTCTACTAAAAAATACAAAAATTAGCCCGGCATGGTGTTGCATGCCTGTAGCCCCAGTTACTTGGGAAACTGAGGCAGGAGAATTGCTTTAATCCGGGATGCAGAGGTTGCAGTGACTGAGATCGTGCCACTGTAGTCCAGCCTGGGCAATAGAGCAAGACTAGGAAAGAAAAGAAAGAAGAAAGAAAGAAAGAAGAAAAGAAAAAGAAAGAAAGAAAGAA